CTTCATCTTGGGAAATGACCCATACACTTTGAGCCTGAAGAAGGCACATTTGACTAAGATAGGTGGTTTTGGTGGTGAGGGGAGTTTAAAATTAAATTTGCAAGTTAAGAAATTGAGCTGATTTTCAGCTGAGAAAAATGACTAGTAACTAATCATTTTGGTGGCTAATACTGTATTTGAGGACCAGAAATTAAGCAGGCAGGATTGTATATTCAAAACCTTGAAAGTCAGCGGCTGCTACAGGATACCTGGGAGCCATTCAACCTGTATAATGATAGGGAAAAAATCTAAGGAAGCCTTTTCTTCTAGTTCCATAAAGCCTGGTGGATGTGGACAGAAAATGAAACCTCACAGGCTGGTATTCAGTAGGTCCACCATAAAAATGAAATACCTAACAATGGAAAGAATTTAAAACTAATCTTTGCATACAGCCAGGCCAGGGATGTGAAATTTCCAGGGGGCTTCTGTAGGCAGTTCTGACACCCTCTGATTGAGCTATAATCAATAGATCTTGTTATAAGAATAAGCCATATCTGGTCTCAAGGTATGGCCTTTGATGGAGAAGAACCTCAGCAAACATTGGAAGGACCTTGGTCCAAGGCCTTGAGGAGATATGCTTCATTAGAAAGACTGGAATATGGTCCAGATTAATGGTCTGATCCATGATCAGCTTCATCTGATCACTTCATAGGAAAGGCTTGCTGAAGAAAAGTAATCTACACATGATCCACAGCACTTTCTTCTGAGCTTAGGCATCTGAAACAAGCCCTGACGTTCTAGCTCAAATAGACCCTCCCTAGGGTCAATTGTTGCTGCTTTCTAGGGCACTATCTCAGAGTATTTCTGGAGCTTGGTGTGAAAACATTTTAAATATACAGTTTCTTCAACTCTGAGCCTTGATCATTTATTCCCAGCAGACACAACCTGGTTGAACCTGGAACCATTTGCATGTTGGGGGATAGCTTTCAGTAGATCTGAGCCCCCATTCCATTTTTGTCTTAGGGATATGTTTTCACTGCAAGAGAAATAGATGTCAATCCTATTCCATTGTAATTACTTCCAATTAATAAAGATTTTCAAAACTACGTTTCCCAACAATGTCATATAGGAAGCCATGACTTACTGCTAGCTTCCATCTAGTTTAAATTCACAATGTGGATTCCTCACAATTGCAGCTTGACTTCCTTAACTCACCCACCATGCTCAATAACAGTTGTTGCAGCTGCTTGATAGATGGTGATTACTCCACACTGTTCTGCCCAAGGGGATGATAATACCTCCCATATTCTCCAAAGAAGCATTGGAGATCCCTTATATCTCCATTCCTCCACCAGTGAGATCCAAATGTGTTGAACATTATTCTCACTTTAAAGATGGGAATTGTATTCTAACACATCTGAAGGGCTCCAGATTAGGGAAGGCTGTCTTCTTCCCACTTTCCCACCTACTCTTCCTGGTGCTGATCATTGCTATTGTCTCTGCTGCACAGTTGCTGGTCAGCTGCATGGCATCTTCTGGGTGTAGCACAGGGATGGGTGGGCAGTTGTTTGGAAAAAATGGCAGAGTGCCTGAGCTGCTGCCACTGTGCTGTGTGAAGGAATACCCACATCTTTCCAAAATCTATTTTAATAAAGTTCTGTTTTAACAATCTGTCTTGCTTCACAGTGTCCTTCATTTGAGGAAGAGTTCTAGTAAATGGCAGAAGCAAAATGGAAATGAAGGGAAGTTAATATGAAATCAGAAAAAAAAAATCTAATCCCAAAGGAGATCATGTTATTTTCAGGTTAAGTGATACAATAAATGAGATCTACTAAGCATGTTTTTTTTTTTTTAGTGCACAACTGTGGAATTAGTTCCAAATCCTTGCGTAGCTGAGTTTCCTGGATGGTCACAGGCAAGTTTCTTTCTCAGTGGCTCTGTTCTCATGGCGACCTGAGAATAGCATTAGCTATCTTCAGGGCTGGCTCCAGGTTTGAGAGATAGCTGGTCAAAATGTCCATAAGAACATAAGCAGTATCCTGCTGGATTAAATCCTGGCCCATCTAGTTCAGTAGTCTGTTCTCACAGTGCCCAACCACTGCACAAGGAAGCCTACTAGTCTCCCAGCAGATGGCCTTCAGAGGACGTCAAGGCTAATAGCCACTGATCCCCATGACTTCCATTAATTGATCCATCCCTTTTTTGGAAGCCAGCCAAGGGAGTAACCAGCACCACATCTTGTAGTCCCTCACAAATGATAGACCCCCCTGCAACAAACCCAAATGTCTACTTTGCCCCCACAGCTACACCAACAGCACCATCACAGCCCAGCAAGTACACATATAAGATTAGAGATGCCTTCACGTGCTCTTCCTGTACAGGTAGTCCTCGGTTAATGATGGCAATTGGGTCCAGAATTGCCATCGCTAAGCAACGCAGTTGTAAAATGTGACATCATGTGACTGCACTGCTTAGCAACAGCAATTCTGGCCCTCCTGATTGCCATCATTAAGCGAATCACCACGGGTCATTAAGTGAGGACGTCATGTGGTTGCCATTTGCAATCTCCTGCTGGCTTCCCCATTAACTTTGCTTGTTGGAAGCCACCAAAGGTCACAAATGGTGACCACATGACTGCAGGATGCTGTGACATCGTAATTGTGAGCCAGGTGCCAAGCACCCAGATCACAATCATGTGGCTAGATGGACACTGCGATGGCCAGAACTCCGAGGACTGGTCATAAGTACCACATATTCAGCACCATCACAAGTTTGAATGAGTGCCACCTGTAATGAGATATATGCCATTGTCTGTCAGCAATGCCCTTCTGGATTCTATGAAGGACAAATGGGACAAATTTTGCAAAAAAAATAATGGATACAAGTTTGATATCAGGACTCAGAAGAAACACAAAGTAATGTCAGAGCATTTCAACCTTCCAGGACACTAGACAGACCTCAAATTACTGTTTTGGAAAAATGGTACTTTAAAAGCACCATTGAGTAAGAAATGGCTGAATTCACATACATCAGAAGGTTTCAGGCAATCTCAGAAGGTCTCTACAAACAAACACATTTTAACAATTATTATCAATTGATAAGGTGCTTGCAATCTGCCTCACATGTAACCTGTATTTGAATAACCAACCTCTCTCCCCTCCCTTCCCCCCCACCTCACCCCAATTTAAACCCTACATCATTCTAGCTATTCTCTGCATCTGATGCAGTGAGCTGCAGATTACAAAAGCTGATGCCTTTTAATAAAGGTGCTACCAGACTCCTTTGGGCTTTTCGATACTCACCCCTTCTATACTAGTGTACCAGCTTGAATCTACATGGATGGCGGGGGAAGCAGTGCCCCAGGGGTGGCTAAGGACCAACTGGGATCTTAATTTCTCCCAATGTCATGACATTTGGGGAACTCCAGCAAGTGTTTGAGCCTGATCTGGGAATCCCAGGGCCATGCTAGAGATGCTCACTGAGGTGCTAGAACATGAGTTGCTGATGACCAGCTTCACTTAGTTCAATGAAAATATTCTGCATAGGAAACATGTTGAAATGATTCAATCATCAGAAAGGGAGTTTTCTCATTTAGGCACTATTAGGGGATACTGCTCTTACTATAAGAAGAAAAGAAGAAAGAGTTGTGGCACTTCTGTTATGGATTAAGTATTTGCAGTCAGTAGTCCACTCAATTAGATGCATCTGATAAGATAGATTTTATGGCAAGATAAATTTGATAAGTCTTTGAAGTGTCATAGTGGTTTTATTGTTACATGTTTTCCTTCTGGATCTTCTTTCCAAAACTTCTTTATAGTAGTGAAGTCAAGAAACTAGCTGTCCAAAATAGCAGCATCTCTCACTTTTTTTTATTCCATCAATATGTTTCTTCTCTGCTTTAGCAATACTTTTCCATGTGAACTAGCACAAAACTTTTGTGCAAGCGTCTGTTTTGGCAAAAGTTACCAATGACTGACTTGACTTCTGCACCCCATTCTCTATGGGGCACATCTTGAACAGCGCAGATGCTTCCGGTGGTTCAAAAGGAGCTACACTACTAACTATTATATGATGCCACGAGTTTATTGTGACCTTGTTTTCAGTTATTTTGTACTAGCTGCTAATTGTATTCTGGTCACAATTTAAGGTGTTGTTTTAACTTCAAAGTTCTAAAGGCTTAGGGACTGATTATCTGGCAGGCACATTATTTTGATGTTATCCTCTTCAAACATAAAGGTTGGCAGGAGAGACCATCTTAAAAATGCCTCTATTTTCTGAGAGCCATTTGTTACGCATGTAGGAATGGATGTTCATCAGATTGAAGAGGTAACCTATTGTCCCTATTCTTCTTAATATCTGTTCCCACCCCCTAACCCATTTCTGGCCCTTGTATGGTCACAAGGCCAAAATGCTTTGTGCATCCTTACTTGGAAGTAAGCCCCATTGAACTCAATAAATACATATGGGATCAGGATGTTGTTGCTAACTTGCTCTACTGTTTGGTAAGCAGCATCATTTTTATTTGGGGTAGGAG